TTCCTTCCTTCCTTCCTTCCTTCCTTCCTTCCTTCCTTCCTTCCTTCCTTGCTTTCTCCCTTCCTTTCTTTCCAAAATAATACCATTAACCCCACTCTGTCTCCCCCCCTTTTCTCTCTTTCCCCCCTCTCTAACTCTGTCTTTCTCTCTCTACCTCCTCTTCTCCATTCCTCCCTTCCACTCGCCCTTCCTTCCTATCTAGGGCCCTTCGTCTACCGCCACGATGGGCTTTCCTTACTAGTACATCTATTATACACAGTGTCATATATTTTCCCATAACCTCCAGGTAGTGACTGGAGATCTCCCACTATTACAATTGATCTCCAGATTACCCTGAAGAAAATGGCTGCTTCGGAGGGTGAAATCCATGGCATTATACCCTGCTGGGGTCCCCAACTCCCAGTCTCCCCAGGCTCCACCCCCAAAAGCGAGCAAATGCAAACCCCAGTGAGGATGTCCTTCATTCTAGGAAGCCTGGCCTCCCAGAGGCTTTCCTTGCTGAGTTTCCGTGTTCTCTCACTGCACAATTACATTCAAAGAAGGCCCCTTAGACTGGAGCAACTTTCTTCAACCAGTGATAGGAAATCTTTCAACAGTGGCCTCACAAAGTCTTTGTTGCCTGTGTGGCATCAATTTCAAGAGCAGGAGTCCCCAACCTTTTTGAACCTGCACATATCTTTGGAATTCTGACGCACCTCTGGAATTCTGACACAGGGTGGTGGGACCAGCCACAAAATGGCTGCTGCAAGAGGCTGAGCCAATGTCAGGGAGTGAAGTCATGCAAAACCCCAACTGTAACTCTTCAACATTACTGCCAGAAGCTCTGTTTAACATGATGTTGCCTTTGAAAATGAACACAATATTTAAATGTTTAAAACTTCTGGCATATGTACAGTGGTGGCAGCGGATGCTGAAGCAACTTTTTAAAAATCTGTAAAGTGAAGCAGATTTTCAGTGGCCAATCAGAGGCCTTGCTGGTCGAAAGTTTCACTTGGCCCTTCTAGGAAAGAATGTGGAGGTGGGGGCAGGAATGGCCCTGAATACCTTGGAATTTCTGGCTGTTTCCTAGAGCTACTTTTGTCATTTCCTGTAAAGAAATTCTGGTAAGCACACCAGTCCATGGTGTATTTTCCCTTTCCAATTCAGTTTGCTTCTACAAGTAGGCTATATATATTCTCCCACAGCTGCTCAGGGCAGGAACAGGCAACAGGACTTGGGGGCTGGGGATCCACCACCTCCAGCAGGGGAATAGCAGCCCTAGTCCAAAGTGAGGTGAAAGATTAGAAGAAACAGTTGGAAGAAATAGAAGGAAATCCTAAGCATGTCTACTCCAACATAAGTCTACTCAGTGGGGCTTACTCCCAGTAAAGTGTCTTTAGGATTGCATAGATAGGGTCTTCTCAGTTGTTGCAATCCGAGTATGGAGTGCCCTCCTGTCAGTTTGAAGAATGAGTGGCCTGCAGGTCTTAAGGAAGCCTGTCTTCCATAAAGGCATGAGACCTTTGCGTAAATTTCCCATAGGCCTACAGTTCCCAAGCTCCCTCCAAGACTTATGACTGGGTTGTGGAAACCAGAGGGAAAAGCAGAAACCAATAACTCTCAAGGAGGCAGAGCTCTAACAAGAGAGTATATAAACTGTAAAGTTTTGTTCAAACAGCAGAGTGTACCATGCAACATCACCCATGCGATGGTGTCACTTTTGTGTGATGATGAAGAAGAAGAAGAGGAGATTGGATTTATACCCCACCCTTCACTACCCAAAGGTGTCTCAGAGCGGCTTACAAACTCCTTTCCCTTCCCCTCCCCACAGCAGACACCCTGTGAGGTAGGTGAGGCTGAGAGAACTCTGACAGAAACTGCTCTTTTTCAAGGACAGCTGTGCCAGAGCTTGTGACTGACCCAAGGTCACATCAGCAGGTGCAAGTGGAGGAGTGGGGAATCAAACCCGGTTCTCCCAGATTAGAGTCCGCACACTTAACCACTACACCAAACTGGCTGCACATTGGAGGTGTTGCTGCACAATGTTGCTGTTTGGGGGTGGGCCTTCCCCCACTGGCCAGCTGGCCGGCAGTGGGCAGAAGCCCCAAAAATCAGGGGAACCCCCACCCAGACCAGGGGTCTGGGAACTCTACTTCCACCATCATGGCAAACAGTATGGAGAAGAATGAGAAGGGATGAGGTTTTGAATTGATACACCTCTGTTGTCCTCCTCTTAGCTGGAGGAACACTCTTCGCAGCCAGGTTCATCAGCTCTTCTTCCTCCCTGGCCTCTTGCCAGGAGCTTCCTTTTATACACCTTCCCTTCTTGCCCCTAAACACCCCTCACTTCTCATTGGAGCTCCTCCCTATTACCCTTGACTGGTGGCTCTTTATTAACATTGTTGTGGTGGGGTTTGGAACTGTGCTGAGCCTCTCTCCTGATGCAAGGGAATCACCTCCAAGCCCTGACAGATTTGTTGTTGGTGGTATCTTCCCCACCCCCTTCCTGCCCTGGAGATCTGAGACCCGCCCAATAATGATAATGTCGCCTTTGCCGAGTTACAACTCTGCTGCTTAAGGTAAAAATTTATCCAATCTGACTACTGTTTTGTAGTACTGCTTTATCCTAATTTTATTATTGCTGTTTTGTTAGCTGCTTTTACAATGTTTTTATGTTGATTTTAAATTTCTTTAAGGGTGTATTATCTGTTTTCTTAACTGATGTGGCATGTTGGTTGCATTGTTGGATTGTAAGAGCTTGGAGAGTGCGACTGAGGGGTGGCTAAAAATGATTAAGTAATGAAAAGATGATTAAATAATGATTTCCAAACTGTTCTTTCCTAAGTCACAAAAAGTTTTCAGACATTCAAGGTGAAGCAGGGCATTGAAGCTAAGGGGGCTAAGTGAGAGGCACTTGAAGAGAAATCAACAGCAAAGGGAACGGGGCAACTGATTCTGTTAACATTAGTTAGGCCCCGGTCACACGGGCCGGATATCGTGTGGGGGGGGGAGGCGTGGCTGTTTGCCCCGGAGCGAATTACCGCACGGCAGCCGGATCAAACGTCCCGCCCGACGTCCCGCCGACATCCCATGGTTGGGGGGAGGTGCTAATCATACCTCACTCCTGCGGCGCGACAAAGAAGTGGCGCCGCGGGTTTTTTTTTAAAATCCAAGTGTTCGCATGCGCCGTTGGGTGCTTGTGCGCACCCGTGGAGACTTGACCAAAAAAACACTTTTCGCAACGGGACATGGGCGGGCGCCGGATGCCACGAGCTACCACCGGAAACGTGATCTGACACCCGCCCTTGCCCCGCGGTTTCCAGAAACTAGTACCTTGGAGGTACTAGTTTTTTACAGTGCATCTTCGGAGTGAAGCCTCGGGTGAGCCACGGGAGCTCTACACTTCCCAGATGTGGCAGTGAGATCATGCCCGGAAAATCTGCCTATCTTCTGTCTCTCTAGTATGCCTAATGCTCCGTGTGACCGGGGCCTTAGTAACTTTAATTCCACACAGGCCTCACATTAGTGAGCACCCTGACCTCCATCTCTTGTATGTTCCTAGGAACAATCAAATCAATATTATCCCTTCCATAAATGGAGCCCTTCTCATGTGCAGCTGAAGGAGGCAAAGGGCTCTTTCCTACCTGCAGAATGTCAATATCTGGCTGCTGGTGCTTCTCTTCCATCTCCTGGATGAGACTTTCAAGAGAGGAGAGCTCCTCGGAGAGTCTGGCTAGATGCTCATCCCTTGCTCTTGCGATGTCCTTTCCTGTCTCCTCCAACTGGAATAGCAGAAGTTTCTCTTGATCTGCTAGAAACTGGTGTAATTGTCTAAACAGCAGTGCTGTATTTTCCCTTTCCAATTCAGTTTGCTTCTACAAGTAGGAGACAGAAAAAAGAGAAGAGAAAACCCATCTGAGGAATGTGGTTGGTCCTTGTAGGGTCAAGGGGCTGGTTATGAGGATTCTGGCAGAAAGAGCATGTGTGGCTTTTCAGAGAGTCAGGGCTTATCCTTGTGTTCATACGCGAATAGCACACTTTACATCAGATGTGCCATGGGAGTTTTGTCCCTTCCCCACACACACACCACACCAGCTCTTCTCTGCTTGCGACCAGAGCAGGCATGGAGAGGCAGCTTCAGCCTCTCCCCACTGCTGTTTTCACATTTGCAGACCACCCAGGGGAGCTGATGTTGGCTCCCTTGTTAAAATCATGTTACTTACGTCACGCAGGGCTCTTTTTGTAGCAGGAGCTCCTTTGTATATTAGATGACACACCCCTAATGTAGCCAATCCTCCAAGAGCTTACAGAGTTCTTCTTACAGGGGCTACTGTAAGCTCTTGGAGGATTGGCTACATTAGGGGTGTGTCACCTAATATGCAAAGGAGTTCCTGCTACAAAAAGAGTATGTGACTATACATCAGTAGTGCAATGGAGACAATAGTAAGTCCACTGGGTGGTTTGCAGATGCAAAAAATGGTGGTGGTAGTGGTGGGGCTAAAACGGCTTCTTCCTGCCTGCTTTGACTGCCAGCAGAAAAGAGCCAGTGTCTGACCGGGTGGCACAAAACTGTCTGATCAGGCCCGTAGCCAGGATTTGTAAAGTCAGGGGGCATTTAAATTTCTTAGGGGGCACTGGCTAATCAAATTAAACCAGGGGAGAAGGCCGTGACACCCTGAGCTGGATGGTAAGTCAGGGGGCCTTGCCAGCAAGTCGGGCGGCCTAGCCCCAAGATGCCCCATTGTACCTACGGGCCTGCGTCTGATGCAAAGTCCTTATGTAGTCCCTCGGCAGGGAAAAAGCTTCCACAGGGAACTGCTTGAAAGGCACCATCCTTCATGCAATGTCCAGTCAGGTGTAAGCTTTTCCTCCCAGGATTTTTTCCCCTTTGGCCAAATGCTGCAAAGACCAGTGCAAGCTGATGGAACTTCCTAAGGGAGTAATTTTTTTTTTGAGGAAAACTTGTGGACTGGAAAGGGTTAAGACCCTCTCCCTCTATTTTATGATCCAGGTTTCAACTTCTAAGGCTGTATTTTGTAAAAGAAAGGGAAAAAACTCCAGGAAAAATAAGCACATCTTGTGTTGTTTGTCCCTTAGAGTTGTCTTTCAAGTCTATTTGGACATCCCGTATCATTGCTGTTCTAATCTTGGGAGCTCAGATAAATTGTATACCGCAGGTTAGGAAAGGTACAAATAGATAAAAAGGGCCTGCATGGTTAACAATGTAATGGGAGCAATAAAAGGTAAGAAATATTCCTTTAAGTGGCAGAAGGCTAGTCTTAGTGAGGTAAATAAAGCACAGGCTTTGGCAAATAAAATGCAAGTCGGTGATCAGACAGACAAAAAGAGACTACAAGGAACATACTGCAAAAAACATAAAGACCAACAATAAAAGATTGTTCAAATACATTAGTAGCAGAAAACCAGCCAGGGAGGCAGTGGGGCCCTTGGATGACCAAGGGGTAAAAGGATTACTAAAGGATGACAGGGAAATGGAAGAGGAGATAAATGCATTTTTTGTCTTAAACTTCACTGTAGAAGATGGGAGGTGCTTGCCCACTCCAGAACTGCCAATTTCAGAAAGGGTGCTGAAAGATCTGAGTCGGATTGAGGTGACAAGAGAGGAGTTCCTACGCCTGATGGACAAATTAAAAATTGACACATCACCAGGCCCAGATGGCACACATCCAAGAGTTCTGAAAGAACTCAAATGTGAACTTGTGGATCTCCAGACAAAAAAAAAATGCAATCGATCTCAAAAATCTCCCTCATTCCCGAGGAATGGAAAGTTTTTTATTTGCCAAAGCTTGTGCTCCTTTTAATTTCCCTATGAAGAAAGGTTGAGGTACATGGGACTCTTTAGCTTGGAGAAACGATGACTGAGGGGTGACATGATGTAGTATATCCCTAGTATATGTAGCTAGTATAACCCCCATCTTTTTAAAAAAAAAAAAAAGATTCCAGAGGAGATCTGGGAAATTACAGGCCAGTCGGCCTGACATTGATATTGGGTACGGTGGTGGAATCAATTATTAAAGACAGAATTAGTAGGTACTCTGATGAACAAACACTATTGAGGAAGAATCAGCATAGATTCTGTGAGGGAAGATTTTGACTCACTAACCTTTTAGAGTTCTTTGAGGGGGTGAACAAACATGCAGACAAGGGGGACCCAATATATATTGTTTACCTTGACTTCCAGAAAGCTTTTGATAAAGTTCATCATCAAAGGCTCTTAAGTAAACTCAGCAGTCATGGGATAAGAGGACAAGTCCACTTGTGGATTATAAACTGGTTAATTAACCGGAAAAAGAGAGTGAGTCTAAATGGGCAGTTTTCACAGTGGAGGGTAGAAAGCAGTGGGGTGCCACAGGGCTCAGTACTGGGTCCGGTGCTTTTAAAGTTGTTCATTAATGATTTGGTGTTGGGAGTAAGCAGTGAAGTGGCTAAATTTGTAGATGACATTAAGTTGTTCAGAGTGGTGAAAACCAGGGAGGAGTGAGAGGCGCTCCAAAGGGATCTGTGGAAGCTGGGTGAGTGAACGTCAGTGTGGCAAATGAGGTTCAATGTGAGCAAGTGCAAAATAATACCCATTGGAGCCAAAAATCCTAACTATAACTATAACTGGTGCGGCAGTTGGTTCCCTTTCTCAGCCGCGAAGACCTAGCCACAGTGATCCATGCGACAGTCACCTCGAGGCTAGACTACTGCAATAAATACATACATACATTCATGGGGTCTGCACTGGCGGTAACTGACCAGAAGCGAGATCTTGGAGTCATGGTAGAAAACTCCCTGAAAACATCAACTCTGTGTGCAAATGCTAGATTGGAGATTATTAGGAAAGGGGTTGAAAACAAATCAGCTAGTATCTAAATGCCCCTGTGTAAATTGATGGTGCAGCCCCATTTGGAATACCGTGTACACTTCTGGTTATCACACCTCAAAAAGATATCATAGCACTGGGAAAAGTGCAGGAAAAGGCAACTAAAACGATTAAGGGGATGGAACAGCTTCTCTATGAAGAAAGGTTAAAGAGGTTAGGGCTCTTTAGCTTGGAGAAATGATGACTGAGGGGTGGCATGATAGAGGTTTACAAAATTAGGCACGGGAGAGAGAAGTACTTTTCTCCCTTTCTCACAATACAAGAACTTGTGGGCACTCAATGAAATTAATGAGCAATAGGATTAGAACAGATCAAAGGAAGTACTTCTTCACCCAAAGAGTAATTAACACATGGAATTCACTGCCACAAGAAGTGGTGGTGGCTACAAGTTAGCATCAAGAAGGGATTGGGGAAACATATGGAGCAGAGGTCCATCAGTGGCTATTAGCTACAAGGTATAGATGGAACACTGTGTCTGGGGCAGTGATGCTTTGTATTCTTGGTGCTTGAGGGGCAACAGTGGGAGGGATTTTGGAGTTCTAGCCCCGCTGGCGGACTTCCTGATGGCACCTGGGTTTTGGTCACTGTGACACAGAGTGCTTGACTGGATTGGCCATTGGTCTTATCCAACATGGCTCCTCTTATATTCTTATGTTCTCTTAACTGATAAGGGCTGCTTCATGGCTCCTTCATTTTATATTCTGCTTTCCAAGACAATACTTTCAGTTCTTGTTCACTTCCCAGTAATAATGACACTTACAAGCAGGTCTTGGCTTTCCTTTTCAGCATCTGATTTATAGGCCAGAACGTTCTTTCTCTCATTCTTCACAGTCTCCAGGCATCTGTGGATCTGATCCTGAGGAGAAAGCAAACATTCTGGATAAGTTCATTTTTAAAAGGCTTACTATATATGCTCATCAAGACTGTTTTTCCAATAAAAACAGGGCCTAACTACACTATGTGCCCAACATGTGCCTTCATGACTGCACCCATAAATATACACCAGGGGAACTAATCTTATAAAGTGCTTGTTTCCTTAGCACTTTGAGGAAGAAGGAACTTCTGGTTTCACTTCCACTTCACTTCCGGCTTGCTTTTGCAACTGACTAAGTTGTGAGCAGAAGACAACTGAAATACATTGGGTTCGAGATGCATATAGTGATCAGCTCATAGTTTATTAGTGATTTCAGCTTAACTCTAAGACAGCAAATCTGGCCTTGCAGCCCTGTTTACAAAGCCAGCAAAGACCACACCCCAACACACCCCGCCAACAATGATAGGCTATTTACATTACAGCTACTTATCTACAGGTCCATTCCAGGATCCAGGATCCACCAGGATTCTGGTGGAACAAGCTTGGCCAGTTTCCAGGTACTGTTCAGGCTCAGTATATAACATTCCTCCTGTTATGTCTTGAGAGACATAATGATAAAAGCTTGAGCTACCATAGCTCATTATGCGGATTGTAAATACTGACCAATGGTGTGTATTCTGGAGGGAAGGGTTTTGATTGGACGTTATGTAGCAATTGTGATTGGATGTAACAAACCTAATGTGATTGGTTGTTGTGCAACATTGTAGGTGTGGCTATCTCAGCCAGAATTGTATATAAGTTGCCCTTTTGCCTAAGGAAGTTGTCTAGCTGGTCTAGCACCTATAAGGCTGAGCCTTCATGCTGTTATCACTTCAATAAAGCTGAAATCACTTGTTGAACTGTTCCTCCGAGTTAAGTGTCATACTTAACATCTGGCGACGAGGATGGGATCTAGTGGGTAGGCAGCCCCACTATTCAGAACAACGGAGGAGGTTCAAGCAGCTGGCGAGCCACCGACGGAGCGAAGCGCTCCTGTGACCCCCGAGAATGAGCTCCAACAAGCAGTTCGAGCCGTTCGAGCCACTTTCGGAAGATTGGGACTCATACCTGACACGGTTCGAGTTTTTCCTGGAGAACTGCCAAGTGACAGATACAGCAATGAAGTGAGCAGCCTTACTGTGTTCCTGTGGGAAAGAGGTGTTTGACATCGCCCACTCATTGGTTACGCCTGCCGACATCAAGACGGTGCCGTATGCGACGCTGACCGAGAAGTTGAAGGCCCATTTCTCGCCCCAACCGTCTGAGATCGCTTCACGACACGCCTTCTATGAGCGACGGCAGGGTTCCCGGGAATCTGTGGCTGAGTTCGTGGCGGCACTTCGAAAGGCGGCAAGGCCCTGCAATTTCGAGAACCTGGAGAAGGTTACGTGACCGCGTAGTGTGCGACCTAAGAGACGTGCAACTGCAACAGTGCCTGTTTGCTTGCAAGGCCCTCATGTTCAAAGATGCTTTTGAGGCAGCCGTCGCAGCCGAAGCCGCGAAGAAATCAACAAGGGAGGTGCGACAACGCTCCGGTCCGGCAGAACCACGCGTTCACCACCAAGCAACCGGTGATGAAGCCGCGGAGGACGTGGATGACGTCAGGGGCGCTCACTCCAGCCACCCACAGCGGACCGCAACGAAGCCTGCGCAGAAACGGCCGTGCCTAGGCTGTGGCGGGAAGCACGAGCACGACACCTGTTGGGCCAAAGTTGATCTGCCGTGCTTGTGGGAAGCGTGGGCACATCGCCCGGGTGTGTAAAGCGAAGGCAAGGTCACCGCCGCCAGCAAGGCAACCTTCACACGAGTTTCGAGACAAAGTCAACGCAACCAGACCAGCCGCCCACCAACTCTCCGGATCATCCAGGTCATCGGCCAGCCACGAGTCCTGCTCATCAACAGTCCTGACAACAGGAGGAGGTCGGCGACAGAAAATCATCGTCACCCTGTTCCTGGATGGAATGCCTTGCGACTTCGCCGGGTCGGCCCGAACCATCATCTCAACGCAGACCCTCGACCGCCTGTTCCCCACGAGAAGCCGCAGACGTCTCCTGACAACCAACGCCCGACTTGCCGATTTTCAAGGGCGCAGGATACCGCTTGCTGGGGAAGTGGAATTTGAGGTTCGATTCAAGGGATTTTGTGCATCCCTGTCCTTGATTGTTGCCGAGGGGAACAGGGTGAGTTTATTGGGGCTGGATTGGTTCGACCCATTGGGAGTCTCTGTTGCTGGCGTTAATAATATGGTATGTGATGATAAATGGAAATGTGTGTATGACGGGTTTCCTCAAGTCTTTGCAAAAGGGTTGGGAACCTACACAGGTCCCCCTGTTGCTGGCGTTAATAATATGGTATGTGATGATAAATGGAAATGTGTGTATGACGGGTTTCCTCAAGTCTTTGCAAAAGGGTTGGGAACCTACACAGGTCCCCCAGTTTCCTTTGATTTAGATCCCCTGGTAAGGCCTATTCACCTAAAATACAGAAAGGTGCCGATAT